ATGTTCTGAGTTTGGTGTGGAAAATGCCAGGCCTTATCGCCCAACATCAGTACCCAACCTGAATGGGAATGCCTGCAGCCATGTTCAGTCTTGCAGAAACCTTCCCAGAAGAGTGGAGGCTCTTGTAGAAGTACATTAATAGCCATGGTTTTGGAACAAGTGTGGGTGGAATTGTCAAATGTCCCCACTGATTTGTTCAACATGTATATCCCAACTACACTGAGGACAGAAACTCTGGTAGCAAGTGACTTGTCTCCATCTTGTGGTTAGTCAGAACTAAAATTTGTTTTTGCATTGTTGTAACTGTGAGGAGTGAAAGCAGACATACACATGAAAAGTTTTAGGGAATTTATAGATATTTGCATAAATATAAATATAAAATTTATATTAGGTCCCAATCTACATTTTTTTGTTACTATTAAACCATTACATGCTAGTCATGTCTTTCCTAAAAATAAAGTAACACTTCTCAACACCATTATAAGACTTAAGTAAAAGCAGCAGTCCTCATGCTGGAAAACTGTCATCATGCTAGTAAATATACTATTTATATTATTATTTGCTAGTATATCATTTATGTTATCTGCCTCCACTTAGAAATTAATCCTTACTTATACATTCCTACACTTCTGATTCCCATCTACTGCTTTAAATAAATGAGTTCAGGTCTTCATATTACTTTACAACACACAAATGATATCACTGATATCATTTTTGTAGTCAGTATCAGTATTAGAAAAAAGATTTGTTCAGCCATTGAGCTGGAAGTTCGTTATTATAAGTATCAATGCAGCCACTAAGCGCTCATAATTTGATATTTCCTGATATGATGCTTCTGTAGACCTGAGCTGTCAGCGGTATGTAACTCTTCTCATGATCATCAAGGATGTAAAGAGGGTCCTGGATACGTCCTGGGTCAAAACTCTCCTCCACTAACTTCACCTTCATTTGCTTGAACGTTCCTGTCACCTCCACAGCATTCTAGATGAGCAAAAAGTAGAAAATACTCAGTATCAATATATCATCATCAAACACAATGAGACAATGCATTGTCCAATATTGGCAAAGTGGCATAAACACTGATCACAATCATTGTTTTTTTTTGGTTTTTTAACACAACAATGCAATAAAGTATGTTTGAAATAAAAAAATACCTGTATCCTTATAAAGCGAGGTCTGGCATACGAGGGCAGGTAGTTAACCACATGGTTATATATTTTACTTCCATCAAACTGGGCACCTTCATTCACAGTAATAGCTGCCATTCCTATCCGCCCCTCATGCCCTGCCAAACAATAGAAACAGACAAAGCACTTGTTTTCATTAACTAATTCATAACCATATCAATGTCTCTTAAGCCGTCTGTCATTTGGAAGTCATGATATTCTCATTAAACATACTGTGAGCTAAAATGACCATCACCTGGAACTTGGACTCCATAAACGTTGGCTTCTTTCAGACAATCATTGATGGTCAGGATGTCAGACACCTCTGTTGTGGCCACATTCTCCCCTTTCCACCTGAAGGCTCAAACAAGTTACAACTTTCAATTTGGTTTTGTTTGGCAACGGCTCATGACTGAGCAACAAATAAAAACAAATGTTTGCCTAGAACTTCACAACTTTTCCAAAGAAACCTGATACACAACATCTTTGCTGCTGAAAAAATGCACCCAGTGGTCAATAGAAAATGTATTAAGTTAGTTTTTAGTAGAAAGAGCAACAATAACAATTGTGGATTGTCTCTCAAATAGCAAAAAGCAATTTGTGAGAATGTAAAGGGAAACACAAGTGCATTACCAGAGAACCATATAACCCTTTTGTTTTATCTTTTATTTAAGCAGAATAATAAAAAAAATTCAAAAATTCTACAAAAAGTGGCATCTCTCTTCAACCAGTGGCAGGTTAATTAACCAAACTATACTGAATCTATCCTACAATACATTCTTTAACTGACCATTTTCCTTGTTATTCTTTTCACCTTTAACAGTAAAGCATCAGTGACCCTGTGATATATCGCTGTATGACTATAAACTATAAACAATTTCTTCTGTACCTGAATGTGTCACCTACACGATCCTGAAAGTAAATGAAGTTGTCATGATCAATCCTCATTAGGTCTCCGCTGTTGAAGTAAAGATCTCCCATCTTGAGAACATTACGAATTCTTTTCCTCTCCGTTTGTTCTTCATTCTGGGCGTAACCGACAAAAGGAGCAATGTCTGTGATCTTTGACACCAGCAGTCCTGTTTCGCCTTAAAAAAAAAACAAGAGACATGTCTTTTACTGCCATTGTCTATCAATGGACTACTTGCCTCATCTATAGGGTCCTAACTTGGTTGGGAAATAGTCCCTGCCTGCAAGATCTAGATGTAATAAAATAATCAAAACACCTACATCTAGTGTATAGAGTCGAGGTTAAAAGTCTGAGATACAGCAGTCTAATTTATATTAACATTTGCATACGTTTCTTCACCTTTGGAGGACTCCACACAGCGGCCGTTAGCGCCTCGAACTGGTTCATCCCGCTCTGTGTCATACTTAATCAGAGTGTAGGGAAACAGCGCCTACAGGAGGAAGTAAAGACATTGCATTATGTGCCCAATACACCATATACCAACAGCTAAATAAATCACAGTGGTGGAGGACATTTATTCAAATACCAAAGTACAAATTTTAGATACTCGTACTTTACTTGAGTATGTCCATTTTATGTAAAGGAATCAGTCATTTCCATGTTTTCCATTCATTGTCTATATCAGTGGTTCTCAACCTTGTTAGAGTTGGGACACCCCAGAAAATTCAGGTTGGTGTTCGCGACTCCCAACAACCCCTGAAGTGTAACAAATGAAATACCATTGCTTTGCCCACAGACAGGACAACAACTAATTTGTGTTTTTAGATTTATTGAAATAACGACACCTTCAGAGTCAACAGTCAACATGTCTGCTTTAGGCCTAAAAGCACAATAATAGATCATGAGATAACTGGGCCTGTTAACATATATAAAAACAGAATATATATAGTATACGGTGTTTCTGAGTTCTTGCCCCCTGTGTTGAATGTCATTAAAGCTGAGAGCTGCTTCCTCTCTCTCATTCTGTGCTGCTTGCCACAATATGTTATTTTAGTCTCCACAACCACTTGGCGACCCCTGGAAATTATCTCAGGTTGAGAACTACTGGTCTATGCAATGCATTCTGGTAGCACCACAACGAGTTCAGAGGGGCCGTGTAGGGGCTTGTGTGTTACAGTCTCCATCCTGTGGTGTTCAGTGGATGAGGCACTGAAAGACTACACTCAGTGTTTTTGTTTTCATTCAATTAATTTCAGCGCATTCACTTGGAACAGTGAATAGTTTCACTGGAACTACTTAGTAGGTGTCCTACATAGACGCTTCTACCGTGGTCTGGATGAATACTAATTTCCGATTGGCTGCAGGGAGTCCATTAATTCCTGCTATACTCCACTACATCTCAGAGGCAAACTTTTTTTAATAATATTTTTATTACTTACATTTTACTCCATTACATCACTACAACATATAGTACAGTACATATAGTGAGTGGAACTGTAAGACCTTGAGAAGCAGTCGAAAACTCTGAAAATGATAATAAGTTACACTTACTTTTACACACACAGTAATACATTGGCTGTAATAATAACAGAAACGTTTTTTTTTAAACTTTTTCTCACCTGATGCAAAAAGTTGACTCGTCCGATAGCTCCAACTTTCCCTGCATAGTTGACAAATCCCACATTTCCTTCAGTGGAGGCGTAAAACTCCTTCACCTGAATGTTCCCAAAGCGATTGAGAAACTCTCTCCATATCTCTGCTCGGACACCGTTGCCAATGGCCAGTCTTACTTTATGGTCCTTGTCATTTTCTCTCTGCATTTTTGGATAAAAATAAACAATGAGCAAGCATTTTGCCAGAAATAAATGCTTTAAAAAGTAAACTACTTGAATCAACTTACTGTAAAATCGTTTATCAAAGACAGAAGAAAATAGTGTTGATGGGGGAAAAAGGTGTATAAAGTGTGAGACTGCACTTCTTTTAAAACACACACATATGTGAACTCATATGCTTTATAATAAAGACACAACAGTCATTCTCACCATGTATGCCTAATCTATGTCTATATGTAAGAATTTGACATTAGAAACCAGTTCACAGTAGAAAAACACAACCACCTCTCTAAAAACCAAACAAATACTGTTTGAGAAATACCATTCACTGTAATAAATGTGACCCCAAAGTCACATACTAGTCCAGAGAGATTTGGCTTCCAAGTTACTTGATATGGTCTTCCTAAGTAAAGGCCAGCATCTATTCCTAGAGGTGACCAGATACAGACAAACCACCTCCTCTTACTGCTGCCTACAGGGTCACGCAGTAACATGAGACTGCGCTTCATGTGATGCAATGAGATACTCTGAATGGCCATACATGTAAGCAGAATATTTACTCCTAAATACAGCAGATACACCTTCAAGAGATCTCAAAAGTATGCAATTATTCTAATACTTTAAAAATGTGTATTTAGCACATCAGAAATTTATATTTTCATGTATTCATAATGTTTCATACTGTAAAATCCTTACAGATAATGACGCAGAAGGATGGAACCCGATAGTTGAGATTTAATGATTTCTATTTTGGTAAGCCAGCTGTGCTGTGCTGTGGGAATGTACAGATTTGGAAAGTTAATCTCTGACTAGATCTGACTCAATGGTAGCTTGCTGCAGCCGGTTCACAGCGCTCTGTCTCTGCAGATGTCTCAAGTGAAGGAGTTTTTACAGAGGTTAAGATGGTAGAGAGGAGGCACGGTGCCCACAGAGCCCTGCCAAAGATCCTGTATGAGCTTGTTTGAGTTGCAATCACTGTAGTAATTGAGGGGATCAGCTTAACATTCAGCCAATCCTAAAAGAATACCACTAGTTTGACTTGAGAGTTTTTAACTATCACATGATCAAGACACTGCTGCAGAGGATTTTCTGAGAAAGAAAGAGTTTGACTTTATTTTTTATCTGCAAAAGAAATATTTTTTATACTTAGTGATGCTGAAATATTGTAATACTGCTTAGCTTTCAGTTTTGAGCTCTGCATGGCTGAACAACACTGTGTGAAAAGGTGGAAACAATAAAAATCACTTTACCCTTGGTGTACTACAGAGGTAACGCATCACCTCTCCTATGTACTGGACAACAGTCACACTGTTTTTCCGGCAGTCATCCCAAAACTGAGAGGCAGAAAACTTCCTCTTCAGAATGATAGTTGACCCTTCAAAATAAGACAGCAAAAAAAAAACATTTGATCATAGACTAAACGGCATAGAAATGTGATGATCTAGAGTAAATGTTTTTGGCTTTCAATTCAGCAAGTTGTGCTGTTTAACTTTAGATATTCAGTTATAAAGATACAGTTAATGTCATTTTAAACAAAGACATTATGTCAATTATGGGATATTCATCTACATGTTTAATGTGTTGACCCATAACTTTCAGGTGTCCATTTATTTCAATTGATCTACAAACACTATATTTATATTTTGAATTTACTGAATTAAAGATCAATTACCGGACTTAACATATTTCCAAACTCTTTCCAACAGTATTTAACTGTATGCCATTTAAGTGGCTGTAATTGTTATGGGTCAGTGTTGGATATTTCCTGATGGGCTGCTTATCCCGATATATAATAGTGGTGTGAACTTTAGCCTATTTAGAAAAAAGCTGTTAGAGTGCAGGAGTAATCTGGTTTTGGTTGACCCAGCTCTGTTCAGATTACTGGTTCACAGTGACAAAAGACTCTTTCATTTAGTTTCCCATGGGCAGGAATACCAGAGGGAGAAGGAGCAGCAGGGGCATCACTTTTCAATTTACAATGTTGCAGCAATCACTTCATATTTATCATGTGTGAGAACCTTATGAAGTTCTTATAATACATTGCCACTTTCATGAATTAGCATAATCTTCATGTGGCGCATGAGCCAATTACTTGCCCTCCATTGCAGAGATCTAAGGTTCTGTTGATTCCTCTGGCAACAAATAAAATCAGTTGTTCATGATCGCCGGTGAAAAGCCAGTAAGGCACTGTATACTTGTCACTGCATTTTTCAGGATCAATAATCATAGTAAAATGATTAAGAGCTGCTTTGGATCCAGCCTGATTAATGATTATATGTTTACTTTTACAGCTTTGTTTTCAGCATTTTAACAATGCATTGTTCTGTGGTGTCTGTAGATAAAAACAGCTCCTTCTAAACACAACTATTCCTATTTTCAGGTGATTGTACACTAATGAAAACATGTGAATATTATATTCCACTTCTGCCAAAAAGCATCCCAAATGTTATAAACTGGACCTTTAAATCGATTTTTCAATGGTTTATTGAGCTTTCTCAAACCCTAAAAAAACAATGAATCCATCAGTGTATGTAAAGATGTCAGGAATGTACAATGACAAACTAAACCTGTGTGGGAGATGACTGTTCTAGATGGAATAATCAGTGTATTGAGCTTGGGTTAGGGGTTAGTGATTTATATGGTATGAGGAAGTCTGATAACAATCTGTTGACAGTCACACTGTGACACATGTGATTTACAGTGGTACTGTTAGGGGGTCCCCAAGTGTTTTTGTGTATACTTGAGGTTATATAAGGTAAATCATTCTGAAAGTCTGCGAGAGAACAACCATGCTGAGGTCTTCTCTTCATGCTGCATGAAGTAAAGAGACTTGATTAATCACATCAGGTTTGTAATTCTTTTAGAGAACTAGCAACGCTCAATATTTTGGAAGAATTTCTCCTACACCTGGATCTGCCATACATTTCCCATCACATATCTACTTAGATTTCGTGCAACAGCCACTGTCAGCACTCTTTTTTTCACAATGTACAATTTTTACAGCTTTTGTTTGGTTTTCTGGAAGTTTTGTTTGGTTCATCGTACAAAAATGTTACCTGTGACCTGTTTGTTTACCCACTAGGATGGATATTGGGACCTGTAACTAATAAAAATAAAAAAAATCACTTGCACTTACATCTTGCTGTGTTGCAGTCTGATTTGAATATACAACAGTTTGGCCTGAACTGAATAACTCCAGTCTTAGTACAGTTATTTGGTTTTTGGCACCCTTGCAACACAGCTGTCTCATCTCTGTTGAGGCCAACAGTGGCTTTAGCAGTAACAAGGACTGCTGTACACAGCAAATTGGGCATTTCAAATTAGGGGACGAATGGAAGAAAATAAAAAAATGCATATTTTTCAGTTATTTAACCAAGCCTGAAATTTATATAACAACCTAGTTACTCATTGTTAGGTCAGTAAAGTGTTCATCAGTCAGCAAGGAATTTCAAACAAGTCTTATTTGTTTCACATTCTGGTGTGAAGTTACAACTACATCTCAATGGTCTTACCTGTCTCAATGGAGCCAATAAAGCCTATAATAAATCCAGCTGTGTGGTATAGAGGCAGGTTGACGTAGATGACATCACTGGCCGTTACACCGTTTGAAGATAAAACAGCGAGAGCTGTTAGGAGGCGGTTCTGACTGACCACAGCTGCCTTAGGTAGACCTGAAATACAACAAGACACAGCGACAACCCTTAAAGCTTGAAGAAGGCCTGATATATGTTGTTGTGGGAACAGATCATCACATGAAACAAACAGACCAAAGCAGCCACTCCAATACCTGTAGTTCCAGAGGTGTAAATATAAACTGCAGGGCTTTTGAAAGTGATGTGTGATCTGAGGGATCGAGGAAGCGGGGAGTCCGATGCCTCGTCCACTTTGTCGGAGAAACTCTCGATTCCAGGTGTGTCACAGTGTTTGGTCATCAGAAGGACGGTGACGCCCTGCTCTGTCAGTGTGGGCAGCACATCCTCCACTGCTTCCTTTAGCTCTGGAAATGGACAGCACAATCATAACCACTGGATACCAGTTTTACATTAATATACAGACTTGCCTAGATACTTGCCCAATATTAGCAGTGAAATATGCAACTTTACGGAAAACAGACCCATGCTTAAAGGACCAATGTGTAGGATTTATTGGCATCTAGCTGTGAAATAGCAACTAACTGAACACTGCTCACATTTGTATTTGACGACGTGGGAGTGAAAACAGACTACAGTGGCTGCGCAACTCACAAAAAACATGAAAGGCCCTCTCTACAACCTACAGTAGAAACATGGCAGTATAACATGGCGAACTGCATGGAAAGCGACCCGCAGTATGCGTAGATAAAAACGTTTCATTCTAAATGCAGCCATTGAATATGATATTGCATCTGTGCCAATAGATCCTCCTAAATGTTACACATTGGATATTTAAAGCCTGATGAAAGCCAACCACAACCTGAGAATCACCCGAGTACGTAGGCTGGAGGAGAGACAGTGGAGACGAGGACGATGTGCACTGCAGTATTTTTTAAGGACAGAAACACTGACTTGGTTTCAGTTGAAATTCTGTGCCTGAATACATTTCTTGAACAGAAACAGAAGCTTGAAATTGGTCTTCAACCAGATATAAAATCATTCTAGACCAATATTTAAATAGTAAATAATCTTAGTAAGTCATCATCATTTAATAATTAAAGCCCCTTCCCCTCCACATGACTTTGTTAACTCAATCTGGCAGAGGTCCATTTAATACAACTCCCCAAGTCCTCTCTTTACATCTCTCATGAAATATCAACTGTATACCAGTCTCTTGGCCCACTGTGATGGAAATACATCACCTAAACTAACACATACATGACAATTTAAATCTCTCTATTCTATTTCTTTATTATTTTATAAGTAAACTTTTATCTTTTCCTCTGAAAACAGCTTGAGCCATCAGAAATGAGGTTAAATTGAATCCATAAATAATTTAGTTTCACAGAAACTAAGTAAAGTACTTTAAGTAAAGTTTTGCTCTAATCCACAAGCACAGACGCATACCTGGGGCAGCTATCAACACTTTGGCCCTGCAGCAGTTGAAGCAGTGCAGCAGAGACTTGTTGCGAATGTTGTGATTGAGAAGAGCCACAGGAGAGCCTAATTTAGCCAAAGCCAGCCAGGTAAACATGAAGGCGGGTTCATTCCCCATGAAAAGTGCGACTGTGTCACCAACTTTATACCCAGGGTGAGACTGGAGCGCGTTGGCTGTTTTGTTACTCCTCTTATCTGTGTATTTGTACGAGTATCCTTCATTTTCAAACACAATGAACAGCTTGTCCGGATGCGCAGCGGTCTGCTCCAAGAAACGGTCCAAAACAAAGAAGAGAGGTCTCCTTCTTCGCCTCGAAACAAACCTCACTAAAATCCGCAGAAGATCCGTGCAATACAGCATATCCACCCAGATATAAGGGCAAAAAGTTTTGAGTGCGAATGGTATGATTAGGATACTTGCTAAAAGGATTGAAAGTAAATACATCTCCATCATGTTTTTCTCGTTCAAAAGCCACAGGTCCTGTAAAAAAAAAAAAAAAGAAAGAAAAAAAGAAAAAGAACAGCCCCTGTGGCAAAATGGGGAATGTTGCAAATAAGGACTTAGTTCAGGGGGGCGGGGCATTTTTCTCAAAATGTAAGTTATATTCATAGGAAATGTATATGAGAATCATTTTGAATCCTGATGTTTGAATAGATTATTGCTCAGCAGCACTTTGCTACTTTCATTGCAAAAAAAGGAGAGAAAAAGTGGTCTTGAAAGGTTTCTCTGACAGAACTGAGCAAGAGTTACTTAAAGAGCAACAACGTTAAAAGGATGCTTCACTATATAGTTCACATTAAAGTCAGTGCTAGGGTCAGCTGAAAGAGGCTGTTGTGGATTATTTCATATATATATATATACATATATACATATATACATATACATATATA